GGGGGGGGGCTTCGACCTGAAAAATCAGGGGTTAGGATTTGCACCCGATCGAAAGAAACCTTGCTATCGCAAGAGTAACTCCAGCTAGCTTCGCTAGCTTTCGTGATAAATAAATATATATATATATATTGTTACATAAACAAAGGAAAAACAATGATAGGAGACATAGGACAGACAGGTAGACAAACAAACAGCCAGCCCAACAGCCAGACAGATGGAACAACGCAAACACAAGCAAACAACGAAACAAACGCCTTCTTAGTGCACAGATTCATCGCAGAAGCCACCCAAGAAAGAAGAAAAGAAAGCAAGAGGCAAAGGAGGGGAGAGGGAGAGAGAGAGAGAGAGACACACACACGCACCGACACATGGCGAGAAAACGAACGGTTGGCGATGTTTGGCGCCCATGCTACTGGTCAAGCCACATCCCGCGTCCAAAAGCCAAAGTCCACACAGGAAACCAGGAACTTGCATCGACCATTGGAACTATCTACCGCTGCAGAAAAAGAATACCGGGCAGCTGTACCTTTCTATACATTTCACAGGTTGCATGCTTGTGGAAGGACTGGCCCCTTGGAATGGCCCGGACTGGGCACGGAATGTCAGGACTGAATGTAGACAAGATATGACAAAATGATTTTCAAGAACCGGCCTGGATAAGGAGCGGCTGGCTCACAGACACCAATGGTGTGACCCCATCCTCTGATGAGAACAACTGAAGATGCCAACTCACCTAGGAACATCAAAAGCAACAGGTTCAAGGAGTGATCAAAAGCAACAGGTTCAAGGAGTGATTTGAGCAAACCCCTTCACGCTCACCTTCACTCTGGAAGGCTCGATTAACCTCTGCTCTACAGCCGTAGCGGCCAACTCTGCACCATTTGGAGGCTTTGGTGCACGAAGCCATGCCACACCACTTGCCACGTGCGGGGAAACCAAAGCACGGCTGGGATGCGTGGAATCCTGCGCCAACATGTTACAAAAAGGAAACTTGCCAACGCTCTCACCACGGTACCTCGCTCGACCCGTGCGGGGTTGGCCCACTTGAGCCATGCACTCAATGAGTCCTCAAAACCTGCCAGCTCTGGCTGTGAGGGGACAAAGGTGATAAAGGGCCGTCGCCCAAGCGGAAGCTTCCTGCCAACTGCCTCAGCAAGGCGAGCTGCTCAAAGTGGAAAATGCTTCTTGTTGCTGGCTTCTTGTTAAGGCTGTGCTCTCACGTATGGCACTCTATATATAACCAATTTCCTCTGAGGCTCCAAAGGTGCAGGTCCTCCACATCCCCAAAAGCCAAGTTCACCTCAGTATGAGAAGTCTTTATATAGACAGGGAAAGCCTTAACCTTCCAGCGTATGTCCACAATTTCTTTCAAAGATCAAGCTCCTGGCTCAGGGAGTAGCGCACTGGAATCAACTCATCAGGTAGCCAAAGGTTCTTTGTCACCAGGAGACGGTCAGATAGATTCGAAAAGAGCCTGATGATGTCTGATAGGCGGATGCAGGTCCGGTGACTCATCGCAAAGGGAGAAGCATTCCAACCGTCTCCAGCCTGTCCACCGTGTGAGGCAGCAAAGCCAGCCTCTCCGACTCTGTTCGGGCTTCCATCTCACCTGGTAAACAGACCGGGGAACGTACCCACCTCTTATGACTCAAGACTCAAAAAGCGTTTACACGTTTCAATTTCAATGTGCAAAATTCCAAGTGGCTCAATAGCAGCCGACCAGGTTTCCCTCGAAGCGCGCGCAGCCATTGCCTTGTCAGACACACGAACAGCAGCAGCTGCTTCCCTCATGTTGGCACATTATTACTATATATTTGGTCGGTGTAGTTCACCATTGGCATCCTTTCCCATATGCACGCAGAAGAAAAGAGAAGCCATTGCAAAAAAAATCAGTCGTCCTGGTGGTCAGACGTCGCCGCCGTCGCACTGCTGGAGCAGCCGGCCTGAGCCAAAGAGATGCTAAAACCACAGCAAACAGACTCTGCCAGGGAGGCCATCGCTCTTAGGTTGGAGGCCATCGCCATCTGTAAGCGCTGCGGCCAAGATGCTGCACTGCCATACTTTTCACACCATCTTTGGAGGCGCGGGCAGGACTTGCACCTCTCGTTGAAGCCTCTTCTTCCTCAAAAGCAATTCAGAACATGTTGGAATGTTGGTCTACCAAAGCCTACCAAATCACCATTGAAATATCATAAAGCAGCAGAAGACAAACCAGCTAGTCCAAGATCCCTGTCCTTCACGGCGTCCAGACCAAAGGCTGCCGTGAGGTCACCCCACACAGAAACCAGTCTCACCACCAATTCCTTATGTTGAAGAAAAATGTTTCCAAGAATGCTTGTCTGCACCTTCAACTTGCACCCTCCCCATACAGACCAATGGCAAAGCACGTGTTCCACCTCGAAGCCATATTGCACACAGAATCCGGTCCTTTCCTTGATAAAACTGCCAAGGAGCTGAGAGTTGCCACGGCTCTGAAGCGTCCAGGGCGCCAGGCAGCTTCGGCCAGCTGAGTGCTTGCTGTGTCAAAGCCGCAGGCCTTGGCTCTGCATCTTCCAGGTTTTGCATCTTCATTCATCGTGTTCCAACCTCTTCCAACGGTCCATGGACAAGAAACTCCAGAAGCTTTGCCGGAGCTTGGGAAGGTTTGGCCGTAGACGTGGAAGGGCACAGCAAGTCAAACCACTCCTGGAACCACATCACACAGGGATTCGCAGCTTGAAACCAAGAAGTTTGTGGGATTCAGTTGTGTGTCTGGGGGCAATACACATGTAGTAGAAGACTTTGCAACCATCCTGTGCATCTTCCAGGTGCCCGTTTTGTCGCACAACCACTTCGCAGAACGCATCTTCACTCAAGTCTGAATCGACTGGTGCACCTAAGTTCATACACGATCAAAGTTTGCTCTCATTCCCACCTTTCGTTCAGAGCAGCGTAGAATTGAACCCTCAGAGATTCATCAAGTCATCAAGTCAGGGAGATCTTCAAAAGTTTTGCTCAGACATGGTTTTGTCTTTAACCCAGTTGCCCTCACCGGTTAGCAAGGCCCGAGAAGACCAGGAGCGAAAACCTTCCCTTGCTGCAAAGCGCCTCAGGGTGGTCTGTTGCAACCCACTCCGCCTCCAATTCCAGTAGCGCTTGGTTCACTAGGGTCCCTTGCGAAAGCTCGAAGAGGAGGCCTTGTCTGGACACAAAGGCATTGCACTGCGCGGGGTCTACTTGCTCATCCTGCGGAGCGCAAAATGTTACAACATATAGAGGCCGTCACAAGCATGGAAACAAAGAACTCGCACGCCTTGCACAGTTTGATGAAGACCTTCAAAATACCCGCCTGCTCGGGCATCCAATGAGGAAGAGCACATGATGACTACAAATGTGTTTTCGTTCTCTGCGCTGCTTCTATGTACAGTATCGCCGTAGAAACAAATTAATGCTTGGCCTATGCGCGCCTCTAGTCTGCTGGGCTGCGTGACGGGCAGTTCGCACTCCTCAGGCACTGACCTTGGATTTTTTTCCTCACTGGCGAGTGCATGCAAACAAGCGATATGGAACGCCTGCGTTTTGGTATCCAAATCCCCCAAGGCCGCAGCAGTAGCGCCAAGGCAACAGGTTCAGGTGATGATGGCCCCTGTCCATGAGCAAGATTCACCTTCCTGGTTCCAGTCACTACGAAGGCCTGTAAAGCTGGCGCGTCCTCACACAAGAATCTCCGCATCTCAAAGTAGGTCAACCTGCGGCATTTGAACATGCAAAAGGTCATCAGGGAGCTGGTGATGACAAAGGACAATTTTCCAAGACGTTCTGCCCGTCCACTCCGGTTTCGCCTGTCAGGCAGCTGAGCAACCTGCACGGCCTGATTGTTTCACCACTTGCAAGCCATGCCGCAGCCACAGCTCTTACTCATGAAACCACTGAAAAATGTCAAATTTAAACTTGACGCATCCGTGTCACTTTTCCTTTACACTATCCGTAAAAACGTTTCCTCTCGGGACCTCTTCTAGAGTGCACCATCTCGACAGGATCCGCTGCCGTAGCTCACCAACACTCACTGGCAGGGGCGAGATGAAATCCATGGCGAAAACCACAACACAGGTTGGGAAATATTTTTTTGGGGGGGGGCAATGTCCAACACAAAAATAACTAAACATCGGTTTGGTTGTTTGGTTTTTGGGTGGTTTGTGCGTCTGCTTTCGTGCATGACGGTTGGCACCCAGTTTGCGTGGGCCAGATTGGGTGGCGGCGCTTAGCCTGTAGTGTGGTACATGTTCTTTGTTCGCACCTATCATGCAAAGGTGTCTGCGCCGATTTGGGGTGCCAGTTTCCGCTTGAGCCTGGTTGAATCAGTCAAGAACGCGTATCGATTTACAGCCATCCAGTGGGCAGCTGGTGTTCGGAAAAAACCGGAATCCAAACTACCTTATCCAAAATCAAAGCATAACGTATGGCAACATCTTTTCTGCAAAGCGACAGGAAGAAACCCAACCTTGTCCACAGCATCTCCGACAACACTTTCCTTCCAATGTGTCAGGTTGTCTTCTGAGCCTGGCCAATGAGTGTCACATATTATAAGTCAAACTGTCACGACATAACCCCACATGTCGGGGTTTCTCAATGACTTGGGGAAAACAATGACGCAAAGTCGCTCCTTCCAGACGGCCCACAACCAGCATATAGCCAAGTTCCTCAAAACAATCCGGGGAAGATGTGGAATCGACAACGGGGTCACAAGACATTGCGAACAAATTATATTCCTCTTCAACTGCCCTGCGCTCCTGTGAGTTCATCTTCGTGAATCTGTAGTGTCAAGAGAAGGATAATGATATAACCTTAAGCGTGGGTTGCCGCGTCCTACTCAATTTCACGGGTTTTCTATGCCACCCATCCTTTCCCCAATGCAAGTTTGAAGCTGACAAAAACATTCGGTCGAAATATTCCCTGCTTTCGCGTCACTAGCTATGGTCATGTACGCTTCTGTGTTTGTGCGTGTGATGCTTCCGTTGGATTGAAAGCCGGATATCACCTTGCACACACACACACACACTCATGGATATGCGTACTGATGTGAATGCGGTGCCACACGCCGGCCTAAGAGACCCAAATCCTGAAAAACCAGGGGCAGGGGACCAGAGTTCCTGTAGTTAAAGGCCACGAACCGACGAGACGACAAGTTGACGGCGTTCCGTGCATGTCTGCAGCAACTAATGAGGTTCTTGGCTTAGCCTCTTGCCATGCGGAAAAGGAAAATGCAGGTACGTGGATTCTGCGTCCAGAATCCATATCACAGCAAACTTGAAGTGTCTTCGTGGGGCGGTGACTTCAAGAATGCCCACCGCTCCCCTGCAATGAAACTGAAACAAATCCAAAAGGATCCCTATGAGTCCAAGGGTTACACACACGCCTCCCCTCGCCACGCCGAGAGTAGGGTGAAACTAAGTGAAGCGACGGATCTCACGGTAGGTCTGATAGGCGGTCAGTGGTAGGCGCAGTTGACCAATGGCATCATCATGAAGACGAGGAGCGACTGTGTGGAGGGGTCGATAGGGAAAAGGAACGGAGTCACGGGGGTACTCAGTGGCGAGTCCCTGTGGGCGGACCCTTCGTGAGTTGACATAGTAGAGGACAAGGTCTTCAAGGGTACAGGTGTGTGGGACTTCCCATACGCGTGAATCACCTGTCGAGGGAAGGGCCATCCAGAAGGCCGTACGATGTTGACCTAAGCGGGAGTAGATCACATCTTTGAGATCGTCAACTGTGTACTCTTTGGTGTCAATCTGTTGCCAATCCAGGGTCACAGTGATGTAGTTCAGGGGTTGATAGACAAGCAGGCTGACATCCAGTTCGAAGCGGATGGTAGAAAGGTCAGGAACCATGTCCAGGGTTTCGATGGGTTGACGAACTTCGCTCCAAGAAGTGCGAGATGTAGGAATCAAATGTGTCAGAGGCTCAGGTACGCGAAGACCCGGAGACGAGATCATCGAGAAGGTTGACGGACGGAAAGATAGTGGGCGAGGGCAAAGGAATTAATCGGAACCAATGGCTGCGGGGAAGAACAGTCAAGAGTGCAATTATGTGGAGGCAAAATAGAACGGAAAAAATAAACAAGGAAACATCCAGGCGCAAAGGAGGTGACGGATCTTTTCACTGCGTGACGAAGAGGGTTCTGAGTTCAAGGAAGCGGTGTAGGTCTGAACCTGAGGTCAATCACGAGGGCGATCTGTAGGAAAGGGAGGCTCCAAAGTGTTCTGAGATTCAGTCGAAGTAGAGTTCAATGACATAGATCCCGAATCTGGCAAAGGAAGTGGAAGTCCAGCGCCGCCGCTGAGAGGGTCAGTGGTAGGAATGTAGTCCACAGGGGCTGAAGAAGACGCAGTTGAATGGCCGGGAGGATCGTCTGGTCGGTAAGATTGATGAAGTTCATCGCGGTATGTAGTGAGGGTGTGGACGACCCCGCTGATGAGTTGTTCTTGTTGTGGGGCAGGTAGGCCCTGGAGCATGGGTACCTTAGAGACGCCAAGGTGGGAGAAATTGTGTAAAAGGGCCTCGATTTGGTATTGGACGTTGAGATGTTCCAGATTGTCCACAGCCTGTCTCTTTTGGCCTCTGCGGGGAGCAGGTTCGCGGCTGAGTTGTTGGGCAGCAGCGAGACGTTCTTCTTCAGCAGCGATGCGTTCCTCTTCAGCACGAAGAGCGGCATCATATTTTTCGCATTGTGTCCAAATGGAAAGGCTGTGTGTAGCGGAGAGCACAAGTTGCCAGCCCCGGGTGCCCCACACTCGTGAAAAAGCCGCAGGCCAGTGAGAGGCGGGGTGATCGTCTATAAAGTAACCGGTTGCGGATTTGTAATATTCAATGTCTTCGTGATCCCAAGGAAGGGTCTTGTGGTGAAACCAAGCGCGATAGAACCAATAGCGTTCTTGATGGGATCGGCGACAGGCCCATTCCTCGAATGGTTCAGCGACAGGCCAAGCTCCGTGAGTTGAATTGTGAACTTGACGAGCGTAGTCAGTATAGTCCTCGTTGTACTGGTTCTCGGAGCGGGGGATGCTCGTCGAGAGAGCAGGGTCCACAGGAGTTACGAGGTCAGCCGTGTGTTCCTGTTGGGAAAGGCTGTCATCGGGAGGAGCTTGTGTCGGCGAGGAGTCGCCTGAAGGGACACGCACATCTTCTGGTTGAAGGTCCATATTGTCCATATCGAGCCAAGGAAGAGGGAGTGTACCAAGGTAGAACCGAAAGGCTGCGGAAGAATCGAAGAGATAGAAAAGTGGTGGTCAATGTGAAACTCATGGTGATTCATCAACGGTAGGCGGTCCAGGGTTGATTTTTGCGGCAAGTCGAGGGAGTGAGTGTGAATGAAAACAAATTAAATCAAATAAAGTTACATTAAGGCTTAGCCTCGGGTAGTCGAAAAGGACGTGTTGGCCGGGGAATCAGAAAAGGGATCTCCTCGCCGTTGAGCTTAACAAGCAGCCCTACCAAAGGTCGCTCTGTCTTTGGAGTAGAGTCAATCGCTGGGGAGCTAGTAGCCATAGAGGTACTCGTACTCGATGAAGGCGAGGAAGTAGAGGTAGTCCGTAATGAGGTAGGAGGTGCTGTCGGACGAGCTTTCTTGGGGAAGGTGGTGGAGACGAGGATAGGTTCATCAGAGTCCCGCAGGTGTGAGGCCATGGAAGGTCGAGAGCGTTTGGTAACTGTCGCAGGTGGATTGGACATAGGTCGCTTGAAAAGTGTGAGAGTAGAATCGGTGAGAGGAAATTTGGGCCGAAGGCTGAGTTGTTAGGTTTCCAGGGGGTCTTGTGGACGGCGGCTTCCTGCCCCCTGTATGATGACTTGGGGAAGGCTGTGATGATATTCCACAGCCAGTGGCGATATCGAACCATTTGCGCAAAGTATGCCCTTACCAGGTCTTTTCACTCAGATCGAGTTGATTTTCGTAAGAAAACCAATGATCATATGCGCGCAGAGGTGGAAACCCCTGGCATTGGAGGAAAATTACCTTGCGCCAAAAAAGGGATGTGAAAGCTCTTGGATGTGTTGGGGTTTGCCATAGTCATATGGCCTTTTTCAAATATGTACTGTTGGTGTTGCAAAGTCTCTGCATGCCATAGGTTGCGCTTCGAAAGAGCGCTCCGCATATTGAAAAGACTAGCGTATGTTCTGTTTTTTGTCTGAATTGTCGGTCCTGGCCTTGAGCCAATCGCTGAAACAAACCCAGAAGGTCCGAATTGATCACCGCTAGCCTAGGTCTGCGCAGGTCGCGCAGGTCGCTTGAACATCCCTCACACTCACCACAGCGTCTGGCAGGCAACAGCGTGGATCTGACTGGTTGTGCACTGCACCGGTCACAATCCCTGCACTCAATGGGTTCACACCCAGTGGATGGACTTGAGCCAATATCCAAAAACGTTTACGCGCTTAACGTGAGATTATGTTTTTGACTACGCTCTAATTCTCCTACTGCACTTCATAGCAAAGGAGGTGTGCGTTAATTTTATGATTAAGCAGGAAGGCTCACTGTGGAAAAGTTGGGAGAAATTGGAGAAATAGGAGGCAGGAAGGCTCACTGTGGAAAAGTTGGGAGAAATTGGAGAAATAGGAGTGGAAAAATAGGAGTGGGACAAATTGGACTCCCTGAGAACGCAACTGCTAAGCAGAGTTGAGGGCCCGAATTGGGAGATCGGAGAAGGTGTGCTGATGCAGCTTTCTTGAGTGGCTCGAACTCTGAACTCTAAAAAAGAGGTAGCCGCCGTTTCAACTTTGAACAGAACCTATGTACGCACACCACGCAGGTTTCAAAAATGTTTTCATCGCAAAACAAATTGACCGCCAGTGGTCTGTTTTAGCTCGAAAGGTTTCTTGCTCAAGACTTCAGGTCAGGTCTTGTGAAACGCGGCTGCCAGCAGAGCAAGTCCTGGCAAGTGCGTTGATTTACCCCCTGCAACTGCAAACATTTCTTGAAAGACGAGGTGGTCGAAAAAACCAAACGTGAGTAGTGAGCAAGACGAAGGCTTGTAGAGCGTGAGCAATTTGGTTGGCTCAGCAAGATGAAAATACAATTTAAAACCTGTCCTCCCGCTGTCGCTGCTCGTTGCATTGAGCGGTACCCGCCATCTTTTCAGCCTTTTTTTGGCCTTGCCAAAAGTATTTCCGAACAGAAAAAATGCGAGGTAGAACTATTGCAAATGGGCCATTCAAATGAAGTGGTTGGAAGTGGTCAAAAGTGGGAAGTCAAGGTCAGGGCTCTAGCTTTGCAACCCCTGGCTGCCAGCCTGTCTCCACCTTTGGGAAGCTAACGCTTCCTCTTCTTCTCTGCCTTCTGCTTCTCTTTAGCCGAGTTCTTTTTTTGGTCGTCCTCAACGACCTTGGGCTTCTCTTTGGTTTCCTTCTCCTTGTCTTCCTTCAGCTTCTGTTCTTTGGCTTTCTTCTCTCTTTCACGCTGTTCCTGTTCTTGTTGTTCTTTTATCTTCCTCTGCTTCTCTTCTTCTGCCACCCGTTGTTGTTCTTTTATCGCCCTCTGCCTCTCTTCTTCTTCCTCTCGCTCTTTGCGTTCCTTTTCTTCCTTCTCCTTCCGCTCCAGTTCTTCTTTGGCCTTCTGCTCTGCTTCTAGTCGTTTTTTTCTGCTGCATCATTCTTCTCTTGCTCAAGCCTCTGTCTTTCCTTCTCTTGTTCTTCTGCCTCTTTGTCTTTGCGTTCTTGCTCTTCCTTCTCTTTGGCTTGCTTTTCTTTTTCACGTTGTTCCTGTTCTTGTTGTTCTTTTATCATCCTCTGCCTCTCTTCTTCTGCCTCCCGCTCTTTGCGTTCTCTTTCTTCCTTCTCCTTCTGCTCCAGTTCTTCTTTGGCCTTCTGCTCTGCTTCTAGTCGTTTTTTTTCTGCTGCATCATTCTTCTCTTGCTCAAGCCTCTGTCTTTCCTTCTCTTGTTCTTCTGCCTCTTTGTCTTTGCGTTCTTGCTCTTTCTTCTCTTTGGCTTGCTTTTCTTTTTCAAGCAGTTCTTGTTCTTTTTGTTCTTTTATCATCCTCTGCCTCTCTTCTTCTGCCTTTCGCTCTTTCTCTTCATTCTCCCTCTTCTTCTTTTCAGACTCCTGGCTTTCTGGAGATTGCGTCAACGCCTCCGCTTTCTCCTTTGCCAGCGCATTCGCTGCGGCCTGACAGAAAGCAGCAAACATAAAAAGAGATCCCATTGTGTAGATTGATTTCGGCTAGCTTCAAAAAACATCTCTTAACACATTTGTCGGACAAAACGCAGCAACGGCTCCTCGGGATGCTTTTGCTGGAGCTCTTCCATGAGCGCAGGCTTCTGCTCTTTCAAAAGCTCCAAGGATTGCTGGATGGCCTTGTTGCTAGGAGCATGGAGGAGGATCCTCTCCAAGGAATTGCGCATGCTCACTTCCAACACACCAGTCCGTAGGCCAAGCAAATCTGACCCTTGATGAACCCTGTGAGACACCAGTGCCCCTGGTGGTAGGTAAAGAACATCGTTTGGCCCCACGGTGCCCATGAATGCCTGGTCGCGTTTTGCCAGCGTCATCAGATCACCTTCCTGAGCTTTGGCTAGCCATTCCAGGACATCGAGCAAAGACTTCTTTTGTGAGCCATCTGTTTGGATTTCCTGCAGCACACCCTGCAGAAGCACCACGCTGACCAAACGTGTTCCACTCCAATTCACCCGGACGCACGGGAACTGGTTCAACTCAAATTTCCCTAAGGAAATGTGTGATGAGGCGACACCAAATGAGCTGGTGTCCAGCATCTTCAAAACATCTTGGTAATGACTCGCTTCTGAGCTTTCCTGGGGGGAGAGGAGAAAGGATGGCGGCAGAATCTTCTCAAAATGTTTGTGCACTGCAGGCACCAACTCTGGATCAAGAGGTTTGTGAGCTCGACCCTCAGTGATCCGCATCGAGGATTCACTGAACAAAGCTCCAAACTGTTTCAAGCTTTCTTCAACCTTCTGGTTTGAGTCCCAAAAACTTTGGAAACCACTTGAAATGACAAAGGGCTCTGAGTAGGACCACTCGAATTTCCACTTCGTGTCGGAAGGGATGTGCGCAGAAGCCCAACCAGAATCAGGGTTGATGAGCAAATGCTTGGTCACACCACTTCCCCTCCTTTGGGTCTTAGCTTTCGCCTTTGCCTTTTCTTCTGCTGCGTCTTTGACCTTCTTGTTCTTCTCTTTCTCTTTGTCTTCATCTCTCTTCTTCTTTGCTCTGTTCAAATCAGCGAGCGCTGATTTGCAAGAATTGGTCAAGGAGGTCAGCACTTTGCGCACAGGAGCCAACTCTTCAACCTTGCTTTTAATCTGCTGCTTGGAAGTACAGGAACGGAAAGATGATGCAAAGCCTTCCAAATAAGCCACAGGCTTGAGCTGCTCATATCCAGCACAAGGCCCTGCACGGGCAATAGCTGACATGTCACGAGACTCAGTCGCACTGTCCGCACCCGACTCGGCAACTGAAAGCGCTTGGATCAACCCTGTCAACTTCTCTTGACCACCATCTTTCATGAGTGTGGCGTTGAGCCAGTCTTGCCTTCGCTCCACAACGTGCATTTCAGTCTTGAACTCCTGACAAGGGCAGGGTCAAGGTCAAAGACCATGCAACTCTGTTTCCATAAATAAACCTCTAGAATCTAGAATCCAAACAATGCTTGAAGACTCTAAAGATAAACTTGAAGAAACCCTTGCTCCGTCCTGAGATTCACTCTTTTGAGACCGGAACTTCGTCAAGGTGTCCGACATTGACTCGGAAACCTTGACCATCTCAGCTCTCACCTTTTCCATCTGCAACTTGAAGGCTCTCTCAGCTTTTATGGTTTGAGTTTCTTGGTCAAACCAACTGCGCTTTGGATCATCCTTAGGGTCTTTCTTATTCTCATCATCGTTTTCCTCTTCTTCTTCTCCAGACGCATCTGAGCTTTCGTTTTTCTCCTCAGCTTTGGCGCCTGACTTTCGCTTCTTTTTTTCAACAGCTTGCAACAAATCATCCACATCTGGCGCCAGGATTCCATCTAGGAAAGGATTTGCCACAGCTGAGTTGTCTGACCTTTGGTCATGGCTGCTGGCAAAAGCTGTTTGGGCTTTGTGCCGCATGTCTTCAAAGTCGCAAACTTCATGGGCATGCAAGCCTTGGTCCCCCATGACAAAACCCAGGCGAGACTCGATGACCTCCTTGGACGCATTCTTTCCTAGCTTTTCTTCTTTGGTGAACTCCTTTTCTTTCGACACCTCCTCGAACCCTATGATCTTGTCTGCTGTGCGGACATACAACCTAATGTAGCCACGCGGTCCAGCAGTGTCTCTGGGCCAATCCTTGTCGTTCAGCCATGTGTTCCAATTGCTTTCAGCCTCTTGTCGGCTCAAAAAGCCGGCTTTAGCAGTTTTGGCCCATTGGTAATACTCTTCCTCCCACATCATCTCTCCCACGTTTTCCTTCCTTTCACCCTCTCGACTTTTCCATGACACGCGGAAGGCTTGGATGGAAAACTTCAATTTGTCTCCTGCTTTGCGGCTTTGTTCTCGAATCTTCACAAACTCTTTCATCAACGCATTGTACTGTTTGGGATCTTCCTCCTCAAGTTTCTTCATATCAGTACCACACTTCTGAGAGGCTGCCACTCTGTGAAGGCTTCGGATGTGGTTGAAGCAATCTTTGCACTTTTTTTGGTCTGCATTGAAGGCTTCTTTCCTCAACTTCCACTTTGTGCAAGAATTGCACTTCTTCCACTCGTCAAGGTTTTCCTCCTTGGCCCCCCTTCTCTTTCTCTTGGCGGGAGACTTGTCTTTCTTCGGGGTGGCTTCTCTTTTTGACTTTGGGTGCTTCTCTCTTTTGCGTGTCTTGGAAGAACCACGGCGGCGGGGGCTCCTGCTTCTGGACTTATCACCATCGGACGCTGCCTCTCCTAGACCCACACTGTCCAAGAAGAGGTCATCTGCGTCGTCGCCTGCCACATCTGCTTGGAAACCTAAACTCGTGTCTCCCATTGGAAGCACAAAATGCGCTCCCAAAAACTGGTGAGCCAACACAACCTGAAAAATCCAAAACAGATGTCCTGCAGAAACACTCGTTCATTGATCTCTCAATCCCATGGGCCACCGGCTCATGGGAAAAACGGGAAACAATCTTCAGTCGCCCAACGCGAAGAGCAAGCAAAACAAAACAGGGTTCAAGAACTGCCCTGTGGCAAACATCCTGCGCACATTGTTTTTCATCTCACTTCTGAATCTAGTGAAAGTTCAAAACACTACGCCTGGTCCAAAGTCTGACCTTCCACACTGCGCTCATTCAGCAACGGGTCAGAGTGGCTTGGGCTTGTGGGCACAGTGCAGCCCAAGAGGAACAAAAACATAGCTCCTAGCACGGAAAGGTGCATCGAATTGCCTGTCATGCTCTTCACTTGTGCTTCCGTTAAGGTTCTTAGAGTGTCCACAAACGTGCATCGATGCTCATCGTTGGCATCGGCCGGGGAACCCCAAATGTTGAAGCCTTGAATCTCAAAAAGCTCCAGAGGGTGAGCAAGTCTGCGCTTGCCCATGATCCAAAGGTTGGAACGTCGAAGCAAAGCTGGGACGTTGCCACGCGTGCCAGCCATCCATGCAGGATCTTGCGAAAGGTTGCAGATCCATTCGTTGGGGTTGATCTCTGGGCCATGGGCTCGACGCAAAAAAGCCTCGTGCTTCAAGATAGACTCCCTGACTGCAGGAGTGCAAGTCTGGAAGCAGCTCCAAGCTTTGCCACTGCTCGAGTGAGGGGGCAGGCATCTCTTTGAGGCTGCAGCTGCAATCACATCTTTCACCTCATTCTCGGGAGCCCTGAATTTGTCAATTCCGTTCATCACTCGACTGCAGGCGAACAAACGCTGGAAAGAAGGTTCGATTCCTGAAGCTCGAACACAATCTCGGAAGGTCAGCTGGGAGCGGTTCAAAAGCAACATATATTTGCGCTGCCGGTCCACGGGCTCTCCAAAGAGAGCTGGCGTCACATGGAACGTGTGAAGCTCAAAAGATTCACAAAGCAGCTCTGCCAAGAGTTGGTCATCAAAAGTTGCTGTGCATTCAATGAGGAGGGCAGCTTCCTGAGAGGTTGAGTCCTGGGCCAACAAACGTTCCACAATAAATTGGACAAACGGAAACGCTGATGGCCCCAGCCATCCTTCTTGATTCCCCATGCTGGACCAGTCACGGCACGTTACTCCTGAAATGCCAAGTAGGAGGCATTCAGAATCCTGTGGCAAAGGTGGCAAAACATCACACTGCCTGTTGTGAACGTAGCAGTGTGCCTTCAGCAACTTCTCTTTTGTGTTCGGAATTTGGAATGCCTCTTTGAGGCATTTGACCGCAAAGCGAACAAATGCTTTCCCTTCCTCCACACAAGCTCGCTTGCACTGCTCTCCATGGTCAATCCTTTCTTGCGCACGGTCACGGTGAACTTTCTGCTGGGTCTTCAAAGCCTGCAATACCGCTGGAGGACAGCGGTCAAGTATATCCCCATGAACACACTTTGGAGCAAAGGTGTCCTGATGGTTCATCAGAACTTTGCGGCATGAACTCTCCAGGTCACCAGCTCTTTGGGCGAAGAATTTGGAAGGATCAAACTGGGTGAAGGAGCGATCTTGCAAAGCTGTTAAGACTTTGCTCATTGCTTCCTCGGGTGAGCCAAGGCCACTGTAGTCAGTGCGCAAAGCTATCCCTTTTTGAGACATCGCCTGTGCTGCAAATGAAAAGTCAGTCTCAAAGTGTCGAATGCTTTGCTCTTTGAACACCTTCAAAAGCCTTGGAGCCCAACACACACTCTCTGCAGCGGTCCGTGGACCTTCAGGCACATCCTCCAAATTCAGGTGCGCGTGGAAGGGATCTGATCGCAGGTTCCTGGGCCTCTTAGGAAAAAAGATGCTCTGGTCAACACCATCCTCAGCTACATCACTGGCCAAACTCTGGCCTTCGCTGTGTTGCACAGCTGGTGATGGAGATTCATGGCCAGGCTGAGCACGCAGTCTGCGTTTGGGAGCCATGGCCAGGAAGGAGTGCTCGCCAACTGTCAAAAGAATCTAAACAAACACATGTGCCACAAGCTTCTGTAATCCTCCACCGGTTTTGTTTTGAACTATCAGACCCAGCCAAGAACCTTTCCTGTCAGGGCATTAGGCCTGCAAACGACGCCTGAACCAAACGCAAAGTGGAGCGGTGGCTTAAAAGGGAAAAGCAATTGCGCACGATGTTCAAAAAATCACGAGCTGGCCAAGCCTCAGGGAAAAAAAGTAACACTCTTAGCACTGCCATCCTAAGTTGCCCAAACCTGATGAGAAAATTTGATTCCTAGGTCACATTTCCATAACCTGACATGATTTTCATAGAAATGACCACAGCCTGTCACAATCTGTGAAGCAACAGCTCACAGGAAAACATAGGAAAACCAACATCGCGTCCGAGCCGGGTCCGAGCCGGGTCCGAGCCGGGTCCGAGCCGGGTC